GGACTGATAAGACATAGTACTTTCATAGAACTATTTGCGCTGTGGTTATGGTAACTGGCTACGACTACGGAGGTCCCAGGTTCGATTCCTGGTTCCTAATTACAACCGAAATTTATTTCTTCTTTGTTCTGTGACTGAAGCCGCCCTTGCTAGCTTTATAGGAGAGGGGAGAAAGAGGCTGGTACTGGATAACACCTATTATGTTGGGGAACCACCATTACGAAGAGGAGAACCCCACCGATCTTTGACAAAAAAAAGACTTAGGGGGGAAGAGGAAGCTTTGCTGATGACGAACCCCTAGTTTAATGAGAAATGGGACAAAATGGATGAGCGGGGAGGACAAAAATAGAGAAAGGATGATAAAGGAGGAGGCCCCCTGACCCAGGGGCAACGACAGACATTCTGCCATGACAAAACACAAAAAGGTCCTTCATTTAAAGGGTCCATAGATTGAATAGTTTCGCTAAAACACACACTCACAACATTGTGCCCCAGGAGAACGAAGGAAATTCCGAAAGAGCAACACGAAACCATGCCCGCGGAGGACGAAGAAAAATTTCGCAAAAACAAAACCCACAAACCCAACCTTCTACAATCTCGAAGTGGAGTTTGAAACCGGAGAAAAATTTGTCAACATTACCCAAGTAATGGAGTGTACCCCCACGAAAAAAAGAAAAGTAGGAAAAAAGAAGGAGAGAAGATGAAAAAGATAGTTCTCCTCAACGTGGAGGTTGGGACCTTAGTGTAATAAAGATTTCTGGTCCCTCCTCTCCTCGCCTCTTCGTAATGTTGGTAGGGCGGTGGATGTTTGGGACTTGGGAGAAAATCTCTCTACTACTACCATCAAGTTGAAGGGGAAAGTCAGTTACTAGGCGTGTTTATAAGTAGTTCTTAATTTTGACCTGTCGAACAGCTATTTTCTTTTTTCTTTCTTTTCATTTTTAATATATAGATTTCTCCTATCAGCGTTCTCGCATTCACGTACAATTTGCGTTTAAAAAGTTCCAACTTGTTTTCGAGAAATTGAAGATAACACACACGTGCCATCTTTTTGTCTAGGACTGTGAAAGAGAACACGGTATTCCGATAAAACTGTGGATCGTAAACGATCTTCTAAGGAAATGGAAGATCGTACGTGTCCATTAATAAGAATGTTACAGTCTATTTTATGAAATTTCCCAGCGAAAGATATAAGAAGTACATAGTTGACCACGTATTGACGAGTATTATCGAGCCTGAGTAATTTGGCTCATTCCTGTCTGTTAATGTTAAAAATGTAGACGCCGTACATTTTTTTTTGAAACGTTAAATTTTAATAAAAATAATTGTTGATATCATTATAAAAGAAAGGAAAGAAAACAATTAACTTTATGAACGAATATACTTTTAAAATAGCAATTGAACAATATTTCTTGTATTAACTTTATAAGTATATCGTCTGTTGCAAATAGTTTCAAAATTTCTCTGGTATTGTTTTTTTTTTTGTTCATTTGAAATTATTATTATTTAATTATTATTTATAATAATAATAATAATTATTTATTTATTTTTTAATTATTATTATTATTATTTATTTATTTATTATTATTATATATTTATTTACTATAATTACATTTAACGCAATACAATATATATATTTATAATAAGTTTCAGACAAGCGTAATTAATGATACAACATCATGTATTTGAAACATTTTTAATGATATGAAGGTTTTCGTAAACTGTTCAAATGAAATATATTGTACTTCGTTTGTCACACATATAGCTATTATTTTTAGATAAAATTAATAGTAAAATTAAATAATGAAATAGTAAAATTAACGCAAGAGAGTTACGATAACTTTCAAATAAGAATATATATTATTTAAGTAGTCTTTTTTCAAGTCTGTACGCGGTGAATAATTTATTTTGGATTTTTCATGCGTGGTTTTATTCTTGCAACTTTTCACGCGATCAGAAAATACATTTTTCTATAATATTTCTAACATCGAATTCCTTGAGGGTAAATTTTTTCTACCTAAATTTTCTTATGTAATTTGAAATAAAATTAACAGTTTAGTATTTTTATTTTAGGAATAACATTTCAAATCGTTTGCAAATAATCTTTTATTTGAGTTAATTCATTGAAATAAAATTGTATAATAGACTAGATGTTTATGTTATTGTATATCTTTATAAACACAATTAATGAAATCGAATATTTAAAAAATAACATATTACTCAGTGATCACATATTCGACTCGTTATTACTTTGAAATTAACGTTAGTTTATTCTCTAGTTATGAACAAATAAATCTTTTTTTTTTAATATTTAATTATATGACTATCGAATAGAATAATGTTTTATTATATGTTATTTTTTATTTTGTATTTATTTTTATAAAATTTCTCAGATAAAATATAAAATAAATAAAACATAAAATTTTTATATAAAATTATAAAATAAAATTTTTATAAAATTTCTCAGAGTTCAGTATAAAATTTTAATATGAAATTTTTAATATAAAATTTACCTAATTTTAGAAATCTTTCAATGAATTCACTCGAATGAAACATCATCTTTAATGATTTATTTGATTTGGATGTAAGATGAAGCTGTTTTCCCTATGTTAAATAATAAATTATAAATTAGTGAAAATGATTCATTAATTCAAATCTTCTATCTTTATTTCGACACAAATGACGAACAAATTTATTTCGATTGTTCTGAATTTCCATTATTTCTTCTATTGTGAAAATACCTTACATAAATATGTTCATAACTCGTAACGACTTTTTTTTTCTAGGACTTGTTCCTACTGGCAGATTATTTACACGGGTTTCTTTCATATAAAAAAAAAACAACATGAAACGAACAAACATACATCGAAGGACGAATGTAAATTATTCTTTGTGTAACGATATTTTATTATAATCACGAATTTATTATTTATTTATTTATTATTCATTATTATTTATGTATTATATATTATTGTTATTTATTTATTTATTATTCATTATTATTTATGTATTATATATTATTGTTATTTATTTATTTATTATTCATTATTTATGTATTATATATTATTATTACTTATTTATTTATTATTCATTATCTATTATTATTTTTTATTATTTATTATTATTTATTTATTTATTATTCATTATTATTTATGTATTATATATTGTTATTTATTATTATTTATTTATTTATTATTCATTATTATTTATGTATTATATATTATTATTTATTATTATTTATTTATTTATTATTCATTATTGTTTATGTATTATATATTATTATTTATTATTATTTATTATTTATTATTTAGTCATAGTTTTAATACAAATGTTCACATGTTAAATACATTGTAGTGCAAGGTGTTCCGTTCAATTTTGAGAATGATAAAATATCTCACGCAGGATTGAAGTTGGAAAAACTTAAAAAATGTTTGGACAAAAGCTATTTGATTCCAAAGGGTGCAAATTACATTTTGGTGGATAGAAAAGATATGAAATATTTTCTATCTTATATTATTTATTATCTTATATTTATATTATATTTATTATCTTATATTTTTGCAATTATTCCGAAAACTAAAGGATATCGTCCATTATGTGTACAAGAAACGATAGTTTAGAACCATGTCCTTGACGATATATTTCGCAGCATGAAATTCGTTGAGGTAACTTTTCTCAAAGAGGTTTTAAGATTCTATTTTAATTTTTTTTTTTTTTTTTTAATGGAATTGTATAATTGGATGAATTTATCTGAGAGAAGAAGAGAAAAATATTAATTTATTCATTTCGAATAACCATTGGTTTAGGAGATATATCTCTCGAAGTCTATCATACGAAAGACAAGGAAAGATGTGATCGTCGTGTGTTATGTTGTCCTTTTCCTTCGTACGACTAGGTAACAACTATTATTAGCTAGGTTAGATGATTCGATTCATATTTATGTAGAATGTACAATAGAGAGATTATGTAGAATCGTAAAATAGAGAAAATGCGTAAATTGTTACATCAGTGTTTTTGGACGTGGATGTACGTGTAGCATATTGAATGTTACTACCCAAACGGTACTTCCTAAAGAGAAACAAACGAAAATGTAAACATTGTAAGTCGCGAGACGGACGAAACTGTAGCACAGGTCGAATATTCTCAGTCTTATACAAACTATCGAAAGCGTAACATTTGTGTGAAATACAGTTAAGTTAAAAATGAATTAATATAATAAACGTAATAAATAAATAAATAAATAAAAGTAGGTCGCGAGAAGAAGTTAAATCCAATATTGAAATTAAACAGGAAATATTATTCGGTGAAAATAGTCGAAACAATTAATAGAAGTCGTAAAGTGATCATGAATTTACCAAAAAACAATTATGGAAAAAGTGAAAATTGTGGACAACCGCATTGTTGGAAAGGCACCATAATACGAGTAGTGTCATATTCGAGTTTGACCGCGAGACAAATTAGAGAAGATGTTGAAGTTAGGACAAATGTTAGGAACGAATGCTGTTCGACGTTTTTTTAACCTATTGCGCTAGTAACTGGTTCGCGGACCATAACGAGTGACCAAACCGTATACAATAACTCGTCTTCTTTTTGAGTTTCATCGGTACATCACTGGATAGAAATTACTAAGAAGTGATAAATTTATTATTTGTTTTGCCCGGGTTATACTTCAATGCACTTAAAACTGAGAAAATATACCAATTTTGGGCCAAATATTGTCGACGCGCGTGGCACGTCATTCCAGCGCAAGAGGTTAAAAAATTGTCAACATCTGGCACGACGAAAAATTGCAACAAAAACCTTGGTCGAATGCAAGAGCACCAAGCTGTTACCATTGCAAAGAAACATGTTTGTGTGAATATGAAACGGGGAAGTGTCACGTTTATCGATGAAAAGTGGATGGCCTCCATTACTATTATCGTGATTTACGAAAGGAGCAACAACTTCAGACTTCGACCCATGGGAGGCGGCTACAGTGAGTAGTATTAAAATTGATAAAATTAAATAGTAAATTGTATATTGAAACGATTGGCGAATAAATTAATACGTGAGCGACACAAATTAGTGCATTTTTCAACATGATAACGCGGCCGTGCACACCGTGAAAGCAGTAGAACAATATTTTACAAATGAAAAAAGATTGTACTTTAGAATGGCTAGCCAAATCTCCGGAGTTGAATATTGTAGAAAATTGTTGGGGGAGTTTGGAAGACAATTCGCAAATATTAATGAATTTGAAATATGAATATCGTGGAAAAATGGGAGAAACTAAGCTAAAAGGTCATTTAAAAACTATATAAATCTTTGCCTCGAAGAATGCCTGCTGTTATTAAGTGCAAAGGTCATACTAAGTACTAAATACAATGATCAAACTCGTTTCTTTTGTTTCAATCCATTATTTTTCCTGAAATATGCTATTAATTTGATCCGCTAAAATTACCATATTTTTCTCTCCCTTTTTTTTTTTAATAACACAAATTGTGTTGCAAAAAGTTCAATTGTTATGTTACTTATAAATGTTCGTGAAAGTACTACGGAAGAATGAAATATAAGATTTTATATCGTTCGTTTAACCTCTTGCGCTAGTAACTGGTTCGCGGACCATAACGAGTGACCATACCGTCATACAATAACTAGTCTTTGAATTCATCGGTATATCGCCGGATAGAAATTGCTAAGAAGTAATAAATTTATTATTTGTCTTGCCTGAGTTATACTGAAAATACTATCGCAATTTTGGAACAAAAAATTCTCGACGTGCGTGGCAAAAGGTTAATAAGGTGTTTCTATTACAGATGTTTCTAGTTTCGTAGGAATTTCGATTTTACAGTGGCTGCAGTGTCACTCATCAGAGTAAAATGAACATCATTTTATCAAACCACCATTTATTATGGAAGAGATTAAGAAGTACAAAAAATATATTCTTGTATATTCAATTTCTGGTGCCTTAAATCTTTTATGTTAGTTGAATTCTACTAGACGTGGACTTTAATGACATTGAATTAAACTTTTAATGATATTAAATTTCAAGTAACATCTCTCTCAAATTTCCTTGATTAACTGGTCGGTTGATTATCTGATAGCAACAAATTTGATCCTTTTGTAAACAATAATTTTTAAAGTTGGACAATAGCAACATTCTGGGTTCTTAGTCTTTAGTATTTCTTCATATCATCTTCATATTGAATTCTTTAGAACAGTAAATTACTAATCATTTTGTTCTGATACGACAATATATATAATATATATATATATATATATTACATGCGACTATATAAATGCGACTCCTGCCTTGCTGGAGTCATTTTTGACCCGTGCTGAGAGCTACTCGAGTGCAATAACGCACACAGTGATAGGTGCTGCTTGTGTGTTAGTAGCTGAAATCTGATCGCACTAACACACGAATGCCATGTGACTAACACGTGTCCGCCAGTTTCAAGTGCCGAAGTAACAAAGACTGAAGACAAAAGACAAAAGAAATCAGTTTCTAGTAACGCTCTGAGGAGGAAAAATGTGTGCAGGAAATCGAAGCAATTTCTTATTTCAAAGTTTATTTTATATTTCTGTGTTTTTATTATTGTTTTAGTATTTTAGCATTGTATTTTAGTATTTAGTATTTAGTAGTTTGTACTATTTTTGTTTTTTAGTGTTTAGTATTCTATATTATTTTTGTATTTACTATTTAGATTTTAGTTTTTGGCATTGTTTTAATGTTTTACTATTTTTATTATTAATTTACCGTTTTTATTATTATTTTTGTTCCTTTTATTACTTTTTTCCGTTGTTTATATTTGTTTCCATTTGTTGACGTAATGTCTTCATTACCAGCAATCGTTCTTCGTCTTCTTTCGCTGAATTTGCACAAGACAATTGTTTCTGACAATGAACAATCATCCGACAACGGAAGTGTATCAAATAGACCGAAATGCAAGAAGACAATATATCAGAAACTGTGGATAATGTAGTTCCAGAAATTTGAACGTAATTGGCAACGTATTGGACCTAGCAAGGATACAGCGATTGTCTCTTGTCAGTGTATAAATAATAATAAATAAATATATTATTATTGTTATTTATAAATATGTGACTATTATTTGTTCCTATATGCTGCTACATGTCCTATATGAGTCGGGTGTCTGTCACTGTGTTGGTACAATTATCGGTGAACCGCTCGGACCATCTAAATATGATTAGTGGAATATCCGTGTGAGTCAGAAATGACCCCGGCATGGGACTACGAGGATTAATATACCTTTCAAACGCCGTCCTTCAAATATTATACCAAGTCGGTAGCCTTGTGTCACTAATGTGTTTGAACCCACAGCGTCATTATTCCATCCCATACTCGACGTTCTCGCCTTTCGGTACGTTAAATTCAAGCACTTTCCATGCATTCATATTTTTGTCTTTTGTTTTGTCTTTTCGACACATGTGACATATATGTATATGCTACAAATATTTCTATTTACTGCTATAAAAATTTCTGTGTTTTATACGACGTGATTTATAACACGGCTAACAATATAATTTGAGAACGTTGACACGATCCTCTTCATTCTTTGACATGCTATCTGGGCCATTCTTCTCCACAAAGTCGATCCTTTGGTGCTATTTAGAGTCTACCGGGTGGTCCTGTAATTTGATATCCGTCATTTGCTAAAACGTCGGAGTTGCAAACAAGTCTGTTGTACTTTCTTGTTTCCTACATTGCGTAGCAGCCTGTTTATAAAAAAATATATATATATATTTTTTTATATCGAACAGTATACATATATATATATATTTTTAACAGTATATATATATATTTTTTTTTTTATATCGAACAGTAATCGACGTAGAAAATTGGGGAGAAATTCGTAGTATTCAAGGATTCCTACACTCTCCTTTAATTTCGCTCGGCCATCCTGATATTTTGACAACTCTATCGTTGATAAATTCGTTATTAAACCCCCCCCCCCCCCGAGTACTGTTCCGGGGTCATTTTTGACTCGCTGGATTTAAGCTACGTACACAGACATAGGCTCCCCACCATCGATTATGCGATAGTTCCTTATAGCAAGAGTCTTATTCCTATTACAGCCGGTCACCAGATTTGAGGACAGGTAATAAACTACTTCGAAGAACGAGGATACACCGACATACCTTTTTTGAATTGCTTTCTTCTTTGTGCATTTTCAGTATAGTCATTTCTTTATTCTTTCTTTGTAATTGCTAAAATACAGCAATAGTCATACCTTTTTTCTGGAAACGCTTAACGACAAATAGGAAAATATAGCCTCAAGTTTATACAGTTTCTACTCGCCAGTCTGCTTCAGGCAGCGTTCGAACAAAGTACACGCTCTATCCACTCGGCAACAGTTATCATTGTTATTTTCATTGTTTTTATTTGTTATTTGTTCATTTGTTTGATATGTTCGCGCAACAAGCAAACGAACCTTCTGCATTTTCTCTTCTTGGGAAGATTATCACAACGATGTTGAACAAATATTATTTTTTTATAAACCACGATGCTGTTATATATTATATTTTCCTATATACATCTAAAATGCGAACATTGCACACAATACGCACGTATAGCGATGAATGTTCAACCCTCAGTGAATATCGGTGTAATGTTCGTGAGGACTTCGAGTTTCGAGCGACTGTCAACGTGTTGGTAAGCAACCGTGAATGCGTCTGAATTAGGGGAATATCAGTCAGAAATGACCCCGGCACAGGACTGTGCGCTTCAATACTCGGAGGGTTAAGAGCTGCGACGTGTTTTTGCTGGAGCATAGGTGGCAATCAAACGCAGTTCTATATTTCGTTTCTTCAAAAATATAGACTCTGATAGTTTAACTGCAGAATTTGTCGATCTAACATCTCGCGGTCTTCCGAAAAGGATTAATCTTGCAATGTTTATAGAATTTTAATTGAATGAGTTGTAAATAAGTATCTAGTAAGCGTCAACCATTATTAATATGTACTATAATATTACTATACAGAATGTATTAATATATAGAATTCTTATGTATTAAAATATAATGTAATAAATATATAATATATATAATAAATACAAATGTAATATATAATATATATAATAAATATAAATGTAATATATAATATATATAATAAATATAAATGTAATATGTGAAAATATATTAATCTATAAAAGTCTTACTATATTACTAGAATATTTTTAAAAGTTACTAAAAAATTTTAACGTGATAACAAATTTCGTTTACTATTTATGTGTAATTTTCGTTGGTTTCGAAACGAGCTTTTGAAAACGTATCACCGTGATTTTTTGTATTCTAGACAAATTGAATTTTACATTAAAGTCAAATTTGTTATCCCAATGTTGGTCAAAATAAAAAGATCGTTGTATTCAAACATGAAATGCCGATAGGGAAGCTTTCGGAGAAAGTTATAAAGTCACTGTATATGTATATCGATAGTCGTACATAGAGCCTGGAAAAGGGACTAGGCAAACACAATGAATAGTGTCGAGAAGTATCGGTTTCTTTTCAATAGAATGCATCAATCTTTGTTTAAGTCCGATTTCACGTCTTAACACGGTGCAAATGAAGCATATTAACCAACATATTAACCTATCATCACGAACAAGCAAATTTACATTTCACGACATAATCTCAATAAATCTAACCGACTGTTTTTGAACGTGGAACGTAAAATCGGTAAAGAATTCTTCTTTCATTGTCACTCACAATCAGTTTGTAGCATCAACCACTTCGTAATTACTACTTACACTGTCTTCAACCTCTTGCGCTAGTAACTTGTTGACGGACCATAACGAGTGACCAAACCGTATACAATAATTTTGTCTTCTTTTTGAATTTATTGGTACATCACTGGATAGAAATTACTAAGAAGTAATAAATTTATTATTTGTTTTGCCTTTGGGTTATATTTCAATATACTTAAAACTGAGAAAATATTGCAATATTGGGCCAAATATTCTCGACGTGCGTTGCACGTCATTCTAGCGCAAGAGGTTAATTCTCACCGTACTTTTTTTTATTCCTTTTTTTCTTATCCTTGCAATCAAAAGTCAATCCCAAATAGTACCCTCACATAGCAGCAACAATATTACATCAAATGGTGAACACGATGACCTTGATTCCGAGGAGAGCACTTGACTGCTATCGTTATTTACTTTGTGGCTCGCATTTGCTGTACACTTTTCCGGTGGGCGACTAGTTCTTTTTCTCATTGCTTTGTCCAGCATTGTGATTTTTCATAGGTTCTACCTTCGTCAAAAACTACAAAAACTATTTTGATACCTTTAATGGTACAATTTTAAATACCATTCTTTGCATAAAAATGGCACTAGAACGGATATTTTCTTCATTGAAACATATACATTTGAATTTGAACAGAATTTTTTTGACAAATGAAAGACAATTATTTATTTCGAT